TTCCTGTAATCTCCTTCTGACCAGTTGTTGGACCCCCTTACCATCTGTGGGCAGAGATGTCCAGAAACTGCCACTGCTTCAGTCCCTCCTATGGTCTGTTCTTGGTTTGGGTGGGCTCTGTCTGTGCTGGCTTGGCCTGCTCTGGACTTTGTTCCACTCTCACTCTGGTCCAACAGATCTTTTCTTCTGACCTTTTAAATTGTCTTGGCCTGGAAAATTGTTTCACTCCATCCTTTTGTGGGTTCTGCTGCTGTAGAATGTATTTTGAAGTGTTATTTAAAGTTATTTGGAGGGAAAACTCCAAAAGAGTTATGATGAAAAATGCTATCCACATCCAGAGAAAGAACTTTGGAGTCTGAATGCAGATAGAAGCATACTATTTGCTCTCCTTTTCATTTGTTGTTTTGTTTTGTTTCTTCTTTCTTGTGGTTCATCCCATTAGTTCTAATTCTTCTTTTCATTATAACTAATGTAAAAATATGTTTAATATGAATGTATAAGTAGAGCCTGTATCAGATTGCATGCCATCTTGTGGAAAGGGGAGGAAAAAGAGAGGGAATAAATTTAAAACTCAAAATTTTATGGAAGTGAATGTTGAAAACTATAAACAGATTAATTAAAAAATTTTAAAAAATGCTGTTGGCTTTAGACTTAAAAAAAATATTTGGAGGGAGGGCTCAGGTGAGTCCCCGCCTTTTCTCTGCTATCTTGCCTCTCTGTCCCATTGTTTTTCACAGGTTAAAAAGTATACCTTTTAGAAAAGGTAAACATGAGTAAAATGGATGCATGTTTTGAAGTTTTTTTTAAAAATTTTGATTTATTTGAGTAACTTATTAGGTTGTATGCTTGAACATGTATCATTTATATATCAAATTGATGATTTTGTACCAGTAGAGCTGTATCTCATTCTTTTGGGCACCTGAATTATGACCTGTTTTACTTGAAAATAATCTGATATCCAGCAGTTATTTTCAGTTCACATGATTTTACTGAACCATCAGATGCTAATATGATATTTATATAGGAATAGTGGTCAGTCAATAGCAGTTTAGAAAATGTAAAAAAAAACCAAAACATTCTTAGTTGTTTTAATCCAGTAAATTCTTAAACTGTTTGATGCTATTTAATGTTTAACTTGGAGAATCTTTTATCTTGTTATTTAAAATTCTTCTTTTTTTTAAAGGCTGTTGCTTTTTTCACTAATGCTACATTATTTTGTAATGGAGTGAAGGGCTCCTTTGAAACTCATTTTGTGATGAAGATTCTAGATTATCTTGGGGAGGTATAATCAAGATACTGTTGTAACGCTAAAAAGTATAGTGAATCTTGCCCAACCAAAAGAAAACAAAATTTGCAAACAGATCGAGAAAACATAGTAGGCCAGACAGATCTTGGTAGAGAAATTCAATAAAAGATTACAGTGAGTCATTTTTCCAGCCCAGCATGGCGTAGGAAGATGAAGAAATTTGTGTACACTGGGGAAGGGATCTGTCCAGGAACACTTTGTACAAGACATTCAATTCAAGAGAGGGGCTGTATACCATGGCAAGAGGAGGTCCCATCCATATACTGGGACACTGAGAAAGGAACAGGTGCTACCTGGAAGCTTTTTCCTTAACCAGCCAGTTCTGGGTCACGAATCCTAAAGGATGGTGTCTGTGCCTCAGTTAGCATTCCAGGGTAAGAACCAATTTTAAGCCCTTAGCAATGTACCTATAGAAGTGTAAACTCAGAAGCAAACAAAAGCAGTGTGGCTCAGATCCCAGGAGTAGAGTAGATTCTCAATTCCAGCTTCTGGTGTAGTCAGAAGCCTTAAGTGGTATAATGAGGGCAAGAATCTGGAACCAAAGAGAAGAACTTACATTTCTGGCACTTGAAAGCAACATTTTCCCAACTGACTAACAGTGGATGAGTCTAGCAGCAGTTTACTTTCAGACCTAGGTTTCAGATTCCAGGAATACCATCTCTCTAATATCCTGCCTCAGGGTCAGGTTTGTCATCTGTTTCCTGAACACATCTTCTATTTTTTTTTTATTTGTTTGTTAGAATATAAACTCCTTGAGGACAGGGACTTTCTGCTTGTATTTGTAATCCTGGTGTGTAGCACAGTGCTTGGCACGTGGCAAACACTTTATAATTGCTTCTTGAATAAACTTGTTTTTTGTTCTATCATTGCTTGGCTACACCTTTCTCAGGATATTTAGATTCAGTCTTTTTAGTTGTATTAATTAACAGTTCATATGTTTCTGAATAAGAGTATGTCTACAAGCAGAAATCCATTTATCGAATTAGGTCTAATTTCCCATCTTGGTTGTTTTTTGTGGCTAAGTTCCATATATCTCCTTATACTTCTCTGTATATCCTATTATATTTCTTAGCTTTCTTTATACTCCATTATTCAGAGAGGCACATACCTAAAAATATCTTAAAAGTTTGCTACAAAAGAAAGTGAAGGACAGTTAAGTAGTTAAGTCTTGGATATTAACTGAAGCACAGCATTTCTTCTTTTCTGATTTCTCATTAGTATTTCTTCTCCTTCACTGTCCTTATGGATAGCTAACTTTGAATTAGAAAATCTAGGTTGCCCTTTCTCTGAGAGGTTTCACTTTTGGCAAGCTTCATGTAGGAATCTGGCGTATAACAACTGAAATTTAATGTGAATCTACCATTCTAATCTAACTAGACAGATTGTAAGAGTAATAGTTGCACCTTGAAGGCCTCCAGCATTGATCTCTGTTTCTTATAATCTTATTATTATCCACAATGCTAGTTAGTCCCTTGAGACCAAAAATTACTTACATAAGACAGTTCACTCTTGAATTAATGTTTTACAACCTCCTTGACTGTTACAAAGATCAATTAGATAATGTCTGGAAGTATAATTTAATTATAAGTTAAAGTGCCATAAAAAAGTACTTGGGTTATTTTGTTTTTTTCTCTCTCTTTTTCTTTATACATACTTTTTTTCATATCTTAACGTTAAAAAAGTTCCTTACTATTTTCTTAGTATCCTATATGTAATTTTTTTTTCCAATCTAATTCTTATCCATCTGCTCTTCTCTGTTCTTTGGCATTCCTTCTAGTAGAAAAGTTAAGTGGAACTGTGCTATTTTAGTGTTATTTTTTGTTGAGTTAAAATTGGGGGTATATATTTGCTCCTTCTTTGTCTTGCTTAATTTTCAGAATTACTAGTTTCATTTTTTTTTTACTATAATATCAGTGAAACTTAAGTTGAACAATTATATGCAAACAACAAAACTGATAATTAAAATTCCAAATCCAAACCAGTGACAATTTGTTTGTATTTTCTTCTAATCTTTTTTTAAATGCTTTTAAGATTTAACACTAAATTTAAGTAAAAAAAAGGCATATTCTTTAATGATTATTTATGTTCAAGTTAATTTGCAATTCACAAAATATCATAACACTATTTCAGTCACTCCCAAGCCTTCATCAAAGTTTTTTGTCCATTCTTTCTCATTTTTTTTGCCTCATGTGGTCAGTTAGCTTGTAGCCCATTCTTCTAGTTTAAATTTTGTCCTTTTGCATTATTCCTTTGAATTATTTTTCATGTTAGTCACATCATAATATTCTATCATTCACTCCACTGTATTGAATCATTGCCCAATTGTTAAACATTTCGATTGTTTCCAGATTGTTTTTACAGTTACATATAGTGCTATTATGAAAATCTTTGACTGAAAAGCTATTTTTCTTTTTTTTGATAACTGATTCAGTGTGTGTGTGTGTGTGTGTGTGTGTGTGTGTGTGTGTGTGTATATATATATATATATTTTTTTTTTTGTTCTTTTGATTTTGTTTTGTTGTTTCTTGATGTCTCATGGAGTCGTTATCTTCCACTTGGCCAATTCTAATTTTTGAGGAGTTGTTTTCTTCAGTGGATTTTTGTACCTCCTTTTCCATTTGGCCTCTTCCATTTTTTTAAGAAGTTGTTTTCTTCAGTCAATTTTTATACATTTTTTCCATTTTTTTTTCAACCAAGCTGTTGACTCTTTTTTCATGATTCTTTTGCACCATTGTCATTTCTTTTACAATTTTCTCTTACCTCTTTCATTTGATTTTTAAAATCCTTTTTAAACTTTTCCAAGAGTGGGCCTGAAACCAATTCACATTTTTCTTTGAGGCTTTGCATATAACCTTTTGACATTGTTGTCCTCTTCAGAGTTTTTGTTTTCATCTTCCCTGTTACCATAATAACTTTTTTGTGGTCAGATTCTTTTTCTGTTTCTGTTTTGTTTTCTTTTTGCTCATTTTTCCTGCCTATTTTGTGACTTTTAAAGTTGGGCTGATCTCCTTGGGTGGATGGGACACTGTCCCAAGCTTCTTGAGCTGTGACTGTGAAGTTTCCTGTGGAGCCTCAGCATTGGTGTGCTGCACTGGGGAGCACAGGTCCTCTCTGCTGGCCTGTTCTGTTGTGATTGCAGGGACTAACTACTGGCCTGTGCTAGGGGCATGGGTCCCTATAGCTTCTCTGAAGTGCCAGAACTGTGGGCCCTGGCATCTGACCCATTGTGCTAGGGCCTTGAGGGTCTGGTTACTGACCTGTTATACATGGAGAGGTCACTGGCCTGCTGTGCTGGGACCATGGAACCTGGACTCTAGCCTGATGTGCTGGTGGTGTAGGGCCAAAGTTTTGCAGTGACCTGTACTGGGGCTTTGGGCCTCGCCGCTGGCTTGCTGGGACATGGGCTGCTGTTGGTTTCCATGAATGCCACCTGTACTGAACTATACTCGCCTTTTACTGTAATGAGAGAAATCTTTCCTGCTGACCTTCTTAAGTTGTCTTAGCCTGGAAAATTGTTTCACTCTCTTTTTCTGTTGGTTCTGCTGCTCTAGAATTTGTTTTGAGGTGTTATTTTATAATTGTTTGGGAGGTGAATTTGGGAAAGTTCATGCAAGTTACTGTCTTACTCTGATATCTTTGTTCTGCCCCAACTTTCAACAAATGTAATAGCTTTGTTTTATTTTTTTTTTTTTAGGTGGTTATAACTAGTAAAAGTGGAGAAATCTTGTATCGTATTTCTCCATGGGCAAAATATGTGGTTCGTGAAGGTGATAATGTGAATTATGATTGGATACAATGGGACCCGGAACTTTCTTATCAAGTAAGAATGGCATATCTTTCTTCAGCTGAAGGTTATTTTCCATTCATTTTTACAATTATTCATTCTTTTTATATATCCACCATTACCTTACTTACTTAGTTTACTATTACGTATAGATAAAAAAAATTACAGTCTCCTAATTGTAAAAAGCACTTTCTGCCAATCTGCAGGTTGCGTGTAACAGGTTGACCTGATTTCTTTCTTTATTTGTATGTAATTACAGAATCATAGAATCTCAGAGGCCATGTACTTCAACCTGTATCTTAACAGGAATCTCATCTAAAACTTACCCAATGAATGAGATCCAGATTTTTCTTGAACTCTAGTGAGGTAGAATCCACTGCCTCTCTGAGGGAGCCTTTTGGGCACTTTAATAACTTTGGTAACTGAAATTTGTCCTCAGCTCAAGCCTAGGTGTTTTTGAGTTTTTTGGTTTGTTTGTTTTAGTTGTAGCTGTGATGCTGTGATGCTGTGATAAAAAAAACAAACTATCAAATATACATTACTTCTATCATACTCTTTTGAGATTATAGTCTTTTCTCAATAGTTTACTTGGGAAAAATAACTAGGGCCTAGAAGAATTTTAAACTCCAGATACTAGTGGGGAAAAACAATTTTTTAAGCCATTTATTACTTGAACAAATTAGTTCTTGCTTTAAGAGTGGTTCTGTATGAGGATATATTGGGGATTGAAGTGGGGTTTTTGACTGGGATTAAGGAGAGAGGGGAGTACTGAAAAGTTAGAAAGCTAGGCATTAGGTATTGTTAAGGGAGGCAAACTAGCCCCAAAACAAGAGTAAAAGTTCTTGGACTTAGTTGCATATTAGCAGGGAAAAGGACAACCCAACAGGGGAGAAAGGCAAACAATTTGTTTTTGAGTTTGACCTTATCCATTGAGGTTATCTGGTGGAGATTACCCCCCACCTTCCTTGTTGTATTATCAAACTAGTCCTTTATTGAGCGATGTTCTTTGGACAGTTTTTGTTGTTATTAATGACGAATACTCAAAAGTATACTCTTAGCTGAAAAGAAATTTTCATAATCTTGTGAATATTTCTTTTCCTGACTTCTATTAATGAGTCTCCAATTGATATAGCTCTTAAGAAAGAAGGCTTAGGAATGTAATAGAAACAGTAGTATAAGCACTACCCATGACTCATCATCTGATTGCTTAAGAATATAGGTCTTCTGAGCTTATGGATAAGTGTAAAGAGTTAATGGTCTTAGAAACAGGGAATCTCAGTTATGAACTTCATTAATTAGAGCATTATGTTTTCCTTTTATTTTCAACTTGAGGCCTTTTCTGTATCTTTGAAACCATTTATGCTGCTGTCTTATTTTGTTTGTTTCCTGTTTCTTATCTGTCCTAGGGAAGACTCAGACCACGTCAATGCAATCCATCCAGTTACAATTCTAACTAAGGCATAAACTACTAAAGATTATTAAGAGTATCAACAGGATCCTAAAATGATCCTGTTGTCATACTTGTTGCAAGCTTTAACCATTTCTAGCAATTTATAGTGTGTAAAAGCAGTGCAGATTTTTTGACTAGAGTAATTTATTTAAAAATAGTAGTCAAATAGTTTATCTGTTATTCTCAAGTTCATTTCTAATGTAATTCTCTATATATTTATAGTTCAAGCATTCTCGACCCACCAAGCCAAAGGGTCTAAGAATCTATGAATCTCATGTAGGAATTTCTTCTCATGAAGGAAAAGTAGCTTCATATAAACACTTTACATGCAATGTTCTACCAAGAATTAAGGACCTTGGTAAGTAATAACTATTGATTTTGATTCAGTTAAAATTTTAATGAGTCTGTACTCTTATTAGAGAAGCTAATTACAAATGTATTTCTTGAGTTGAGATAGTGTATAGTAGAAAAACATTTTATTTTTGGCTTCTGAAATTGCCTTGTAATAGGGATAATGTAGAGAAAACATGAACTGAAATTAGTGTATGAGCATCTAAGTTATTGTTGTCCTCACCATTTTAAGTTGTGTGATGTGTTTAAAAATATAGAAAAATATTAGTGTAATTAGTTTGTATGAGGCAGCTTTCTCCAAGTATTAAGAGATTATTGACTATGGTCTGTTACAGTTTTAATTGTTAGTAAAGATTTAATGTTTTGAAATTTATGAATAACTATATGTATTAGGATGAATGTGGCCTATATCCAGCTATTTGGATAATTTAGTACTTAATTATTGATAATGCATTGATCAACCTTATTGTCCCTCCTACATCTCCTTCTAGAATGCTCTTTGGGCAATTTCACACTGCTCATTAGCATTCTTTCCACTCATTAGGCAGGAGGAATAAATATAGATGAAACTATTTTGTTTTGTTTTTGGCAAAAAGTTTTGTCTGAAAGAAATGGTTGAACAGCTAGAATATAATTTTGATTTATTTACTAGTTTAAAGTCGTCATGTTCTTCCTGTTCTCAGTAGACAGGAAATTGTCTATAATAGCAAAAGGTGAGTGAGCTTTAGTAAATTTATATAATCTAATGTTTGAGTGTGTAATATAGATGATAATTGAGATCCACAGTTTGAATAAACACATGTTATATTTTTCAGAACTTCCTAAGTCATCTAGTACATCACATTTCTAAATAGAAATTCCCTCTACAACAGATTTAACGCAGTAATAGGTGGGAAGCAACCTGTTCTCTGTTACTTATGCTTCTAGATTTTTCTTTGGGATCTTTGGACGTTATAATGGTTGAGGGGAGGAAGTAGGGAGAAAGGGAAGAAAAAGGAGAACTTGTGGCTGACAAGGAGAATCAACTGCATGGCTGACTTTGTAAAGTGATAGAGAAATATGTATCTGTAAATTTATTAGCATTCAATGACTCATGCCTCTAAACAGGCACCCGTTATTGGCTACAAAGATGAAAAATGAAGATATAATTCAGTTTGTTCATGGCTTGAATTTCTATCTTATTTCTTAATTCTCTTGACCTAATTTCTATACTCTAAAGCATCATACAGGTGCAGTGAACAGATTAATGTTCACCCACTCAGGTAAAATTCATTCATTCACTTTTGTTTAGTACTTCATATAATTGAATGTCTTCCATCTATTAGATGCATCAACAGGGACTATTTAGGACTGGAATATGCTTTAATTCACCTTTCTAAAATGTGTTTCACTGACATGAACACAAGACTAGATGAAATCTGATTTGGGAAAGGTGAAACAGGACTATTATTTTCTTCATTCCGGCTACTACTTCTCTTAATATAGAACAAGATTGCTTTATCTTTAATTGCTGCCATGTCACTCTGTTGATTAACATTCAGGTTACATTCCTCTCAATCCTCTAAATAATTTCAGATAAAAAGTTGTCTGGTCACATTTCCTTTTTCCTGTGTTTCTCTACTTGCCTTTTGAACTCAGTTCATTGGTGGAAAGATTATTGGATTTGGAGTCAGATGTCTTAGGTTGAATCTTGGCTTGGCCACTTAGTGCCTCTATGAACTTGGACAAATCACAGAATTTGAGAATTGGAAGAGAACACTGCTTCTATCTAATACAACACATAAACAGAAAGGATTCCCGCTATAAGTACCTGAGAAGTGATTGTTGAACCTTGCCTAAAGACCTCCAAGTTAGGAAAGCACATTGCCTCTCAAGTCAGCCCATTCTACTTTTGGTTAAGAAGCTTTTTCTGAAATCATTTCTAAATTTACTTCTTTGCAGCTTATGTTCATTGTTTTTGATTCAGCCCACTAGAGCCAAATGGAACAAGTCAGTCCCTCTTGCACATGACAGACCTTCAGATGCTTAAAGACTTAAAAATTCTCATGTCTACCCAGACTTTCTTCTCTGGGCTATCCATCCCCAGTTCCTTACATGGTATGGATGCAAAACATTTTGCCTTCTTGTTTACCATCCTGGACACTCACTAGCTTATCGGTTTTCCTCAAACCTTGAGTCCAAGAACTGAACTATTCATTCTCAATTTACTTAGCCTTCTGTTGTTTCACTTAACCTTTTCTTACTTGCCTTGCCAAGTACCTTCTCTTCATTTCAAATGAAGCAGAATAGTGTGAGACTGTTGCCTCCCGGTTTGAAGCTCTGACTCTTTTAACACAGCCCAAGGTCGCCTTAGCTAACTTTTTTGGGGGTAAGAGGGGAGATGTGGGTCAGGATGGGGAGAGAGACAAGTGAATTGTTGTTTTTAAAAAAAAGGAAGTGTCAGAGAATGGGATTTATATTTCTGAAATCATAGCTTATAATATATGGTTGATAGATCACACTGTTGACTTATTGAGCTTTTCAGGCCACCAACAACTGCTGTTGATCCATACCTCTCCCATGTTATACTTGTAAAATGATTCTTCTTTTGTAGAAGATTTTATATTTATCCCTATTGAATTTCTTCTTAATAGTTTTTGCCTGATACTATAACCTCTTTTGATTTGTTATTATTTGTTATTATTCAGTGGGTTAACTCTCCATTCTAGCTTTAAAAATGTTAAACAGTACAGGGCAAAGCCCTGAAGTGCTTTACTGGAAATCCCCTGCCCCATTGACATTGAACTATTAACAAACTACTTTTTAAATCTAGACATCCCACCAATTCAGGATCCATGTAATATTCTTATCTTAAACATATCTTTCCATCTCCTTCACAAAAATAGCTTGAGATATTAAATCTTGAGTTTATGCTTTGCTAAAATCTAGGAAAGTTCATCCACAGAATTCTTCTCATCTGCTAATTGAATAATCCTATCAAAAAAGAAATAAGTTTAGTCCAGCATGAGCTGTTCTTTATGAAACCACACTGGCTTGATCATTACTTATGCAGTATCTAAGTTTGGGGATAGACAGTTTCTTTCTCCTCCGTCCTTTTTTTAAAAGAACTTTTTTTATCTTCATTTGTAAGAACCTGGCAAATATGTTCTTACCAGCTTTTGTTATATGTATTCCATCTCTGATCAGGAATCTATCAACCTATATTGTAAACTTTGATCCAGAAACCCAGTCTCCTTCTCAGACATAACCTTTTAATCCAGTAGCTCATTTTCCAAATTGATTTTTTTTCTCCTCTATATCCCTTACCTTCACTGAGCATCACTGAAGAAAGCAAAAGCCATTCCCTCATGATGTTAAGTTTCTTTCACCGGATTTCGTGATTATTGGTGACATGATTTTGGTTGTTTCTGGAAGTATGTTTTGTGCCTACATGAATCACCAGAGACAATTTGTTGGCATACATTTTTAAATAAGTCTTGGGGAGCTCTCTGTTACGTCTAAGATAAATGGCATGGAAGACAGTAAACTTTTCTATTGTTATCAGATCAACAAAAAGCTGTTTCAGTACTCCTGAGCAGGAGGGTGACCAACTACTTCTAAGCTTCACTTTTTCCTCTGGTCCTTCTAGTTGGACAGCTTCTGTGTCTTTAGTCTGTCATTCTGGGAAAAGATAAGCAGTCTTCCTTTTCAGAGCGTCCAGCTCTTTCTTTTAGGAAAAACCTATTTGTTTTTAATTTCTAATTGTAAAGCATCTTTTTCCTTATCTTTTTCTCTGTTTGACAGTCTTCAGTTCTCCATTGTGAAATGTCTAAAATATCCCCTCCTTCTATTCTTTTCCTCCCTCTAAAGTCTCAACTTCACTTTCCTTTAGGAACTCTTTGTTATCCCTACAAGTCTGGAGTGTGAATAGTTTTTCTTCTAACCCCTTCATCTTATGGTGGATATCAGTATGCACTTGAAACACAGATAACATGTACACTACTATGGCAGAAATAAAAAAGAAAAAAATCACACCCTCATTGCAGTTCACTGTACTATTGTATTTTACTTTACATAATCTTGAGAATTTAGGCCTTATTTCTCGAAACTATTTTTTTTTTGTGTGTTTATAGATCAACCAGAAGCATACCTAATTAAAACTTTCTTAGAGCTGTTATTAATTTTAAAAAGTTAAAGCTTTTAAAACCAGTTTGTCCCGCTCATTATTCATTCTCAATTTACTTAGCCTTCTGTTGTTCCACTTAACCTTTTCTGACTTTTGCCTTGCCAAGTACCTTCTCCTACTGATTTAGGTTCTATTCCTTAATCCTCTTTTATCCACCTTAATCTTTTTATAGTCTCCTTATTTGTCCTGTATCTTGCTTCTCTTAAAATCTAGAAGGAGAATATGGATCAGTATCTGGGTCTGGATGTTCTTCATATTTTCAATTTTTCCTTTTTATGTTAATCTGATCTACTTCACTAGTCCAAACCCCTCCGCATCACTTAAATAATTTCCTTCTCCAACTCTTTTCTCGTTCCCACAACCATCTTCCTTGGAAACTAGAAGTAGAAATCATTTAATTTCAATGGATCTCACTTTTTGACTGTCATTTGAGCTATTAAATATTTCTAACAACTTCTTGTTATTTGCCAATTTAGTAAAGATTTTATCTATATCTTCAATATTGATAAAAATGTAAAACACATCAGAGTCAAAAGTTTCGTAGGCAACCCTCAGTTAACAACTTCCAATGTGTTATAGTGTCCCACAGTTTTTACCTCTTTGTGTATAGTCATTTGACCAATCCTGAATACATTTAATTGTACTTTTATCTAGTTAATATCTTTCCATTTTTTAAGTAATGGTATCATGACAGTCTTTGTCAGATGCTTGCAAAAATCAAAATGTGATATTACCCTGATCTACAAGTCTAATCATTTTTAAAATATCACTTTAGGTTATTCAGGTACGAACCTTTGCTTGTTCTTAGTGATGATCATTTCCTTATACTCACAATAATTTTAATGATTCTAGAGTTTTGTAAAGAGTCAGAAATCAAATTCATTTAGCTTATAATTTGTAGGCTTTACTTCCTTCAGTTTTTAAAAAAGATCAGGATATTTGCCTTTCTTTAGTCCTATAATACCTGTCCCTTTTGCTGCAGTTTTTCAAAGATCATCAACAGTGTCTCTACAAGTCATCAGTTCTTCTAGTTGTTTATGCAAGCCTTTTTTACTTAATATCATTGAAGACATCCTAGTCATCTTTGTAATATTTCACTTATCATGGATTTTACCTTTCTGTTAACTATTTAGACTTATGTCTTAGTCTAAACTTAGACTAATTCCAAGGATCATGTATGTAGTAGGAAGAACAGAATCAAAATAAGAGTAACTTTGCCTTTTCCTGTTATCCAAACAATAGCAGTATCTCTTCTTTTTCCTTACACTTAGCTTATCTTAGCTGTAACCAGTCACTTTTGTTATCTTCAGCATGCTTCTTTAGGCCAGCTCATTCTGAGGTTTTGTATTCTTGACCATTCTTATAGGATCCTGTTATTGATTCCTTCTTCTGTAAATGTCTTTTTTTTTGTCTGTTTTTTGCTAGGCGGTGGAGTTAAGTGACTTGCCCAGGGTCACATAGCTAGTAAGTGTCAAGCTTCTGAGGCCAGATTTGAACTTGAGTTCTCCTGACTCCAGGGTCTGTTCTCTGTCCGTTGCACTACCTAGCTGCCCCCTGTAAATGTCTTTTTAAGGCTTAATTTATTTAATGAATTATCTAGGTATTCATATCAGTATCTTTAGCCTATTCTACCTTTTCTTCCTTATTAGAATTGTTTGTTTTTTTGTCATGAGAACTTCTTTTTTTGTGAGCATCCTTCTTGGGCTGTTCTCCTATAGCATTTTAGGCCATATGTCCCTTTTTCTTTGAATCTTTTGAAACATTTCCATTTCTTCTCTGTACCCATCTTGAACTCTATAATGGAGTGTGACCAAGTTTCTCATCATTTTGATTGACGCAAACACACACATTGTGTGTGTGTGTGTGTGTGTGTGTGTGTATGTATGTATGTACAGAATAAGATCCAAAATTTTCTTCACCTGTCCTCACCTGTCCTCCTTTCTTTTGAAGAATGAAATTATTCTTAAAGCAGTTTTAGAAATTTAGCTGTTCTGCTTTTGAGAGAGAAAGGTCCAGTAATTAATAATCAGATAGGGAACTTTTAACTGTAGTTCCCCATCACTTCCATGTTATGTTCCATTTCTAGATAAATACCTATTTCTAGAACTCCTTGTGCATTTCCTTCTGGCCAAGTGTTCTGTAGTACACTCCTTCAGTATTGCTTACATTTCTTACTCTATTGATTTTTACCCAAAAGTTCTTCATCATGCTTCACCCCTTGATTATGAATTTCCTCAAATGAATATATCTTCTTGACATTCAGTGATAGTTAATCTTCTTTTATCTAGACTACTACTTTTGAATAATGCGTATACTTCCATAGGTGAATTCCAATCATGAGTCATACCATCTAGTCTTAAGAATTACCTTGCTTTAAAGTGTTTTACAAATGGATCTTAATGGAAACATTTCAGCATCTTCTTTTAAGTGAAAATCCTTACTTTGGGCAAAATATAGGAAAAGTATTATAAACTAATATTCTGTTGACACTATGGTGATAAATAATATTCGATCCCATAGGTAAATGACAGTTAGGGTGTGTAACCAGTAAATTGTGCTCTAAATAAATAATTTATGTCGCTTTTGGAAATTGGAGCTTAATATTTTTTTTGTAAAGAAAACAACAATTCACCCCTTAACATATATAATCTTGAAAGAAGTTCTAGGCTTTTTTTAATATTCATAAATCATTAATTACTAATGTGAATTTATAACAAATAAAATGCTAATATCATTGAGTTATGTGTATCAGAAGGTATAAGACAAACAAATTAAACTGATACACCTGCTTACAAAAATATGTAAAATTACAGAAAATAATAATAAAGCTTTATACTAGTTTAAAGGGGGGACAAGTGAAAGAGCATTTCTTTTATATGGTATCGACTATTTGCCTGATGCAGTGTTAAGTGCTTTGCAAATGTGATCTCATTTGATCTTTAAGCATATTGTGCTGATACTGTGACTAATTTGACTGTGAACTGAATGGGATAAATCTTTTCTTGGGAAGCTGAGTAAAATTTTAAATGTACCTAAACCATACGAAGAGGTTTTTTTTTTTTTTAATTAGTCATTATTATGTAAAAGTAAAATTGACATAGTTTCTCTATTAATTAAGCTTGTTTTCTTCTAATTTTTTCCCCTTTTAGCTGATGGGGCATTTATTTGCTCACATCATAATTATCTTAGGAAAGATTTTTTAAAAATGAGTTCTGGATCCCTTATTAAAACATTTTCCCCTTTAGATTTTAACCGCTTAAAATCACAGAGAAACATTTTGGGATAAAGAAGAAGCACAATAAGCTCAGAGCAGAAATGAATACTTTATTGATTATTTTTTGTGATAGCTACCTTAAGAAATAGATTTGGTGAGAAACTAATTATTAAAGATAGAAATAAGTATGTCTGAAATATGAAAAATCTTAGTAAAGCACCAGATGCATGATATGTAATCAGTTACTCTTACTTAGTTTTCATGATCTACAGTGTGAATATTAAAGTGAAACTGAAGTTCAGGATATGCATATTGGCATAGTTAATATTCTAAAGTCAAATTAAGATTATATTTGCATATCATTTATTGGTTGTTAAAACTGAGACATTTAGTATAGCTAGTCAGATGTAGATCTCTTGAGAAAGTGACCTTCCTGCTCTTGATAAGAAGGGCAGACAAGCCTAAAATGTTAAATCAGTGGTATTTTTTTAAATGAAGGATAGACTGTTTTTACATATATTCCAGTGTAAAACATTAAAGTTAAACTCTCTTAAGACTAAGCAAATACCATTTGTATATTTTATTTTTTAACAAAATTAATTACTTTTAACCATACTTTGTTTAAATTAATTTATGTTTAAATAGGATACAATTGCATTCAGTTGATGGCTATTATGGAACATGCGTATTATGCCAGTTTCGGTTATCAAGTGACAAGCTTTTTTGCAGCATCAAGGTAAAATGAAAGCATATACATGCCACTTCATAATTTAAATAGAAAATAGAAAAAGTAAATTGATTTTTGTATGTTATACTTATGCATCTGTTTATAATATTTTTGTTATTTGGGATATTTGTAGGTTATAATTCACTTATATGTGCCAACTTCACCATTAAAATTTTTGAAGAAAATTTATGTTTAGCTTTGACAAATGCATATATATCTCATGTGACTATCTGGTCCTATCTTGTAAGAGTTTTTAACCAGGATAAAAATAATAGAGAGGTTGGCAGTAACCTCTTGAAGTCTATGCATTTGCTTAGTATGTAATGGGAAAACAAATGAAATGTTTCAAAAGACGTGGGTTCTAGATCTGGTTCTACCACCAATAACCTATGGTACTATACCTTTTGAGGGTCCAGATTCCTCAAATATACATATATTGTAACAACTGAAGCATTGTTGAGTCCAGGGAACTGGGAGCTGTGTTCTCTGTCTCTCCACTAAGGGACCACTTGTAGCTTTTGACCCACATGTGGAGTAAGGTCAGACCTGTGGCAAACTAATCACCTGAAAAAAGGATTAAGTTCTTTTTCTGGTACATTTCGGCTCTTTACATGCTCAGCCCCAGATCAGGAGCAGAGGGAATAAGGAGTGGAAGCAGTGAGGAAACACTGAAAACTTATGTTTAGCTCATGTAGAAAAGAATATAACAGATCAGATGATACAATATAGCTATTTCATCCATACAAAAGTAATAGTAAGGAGCAGTAACATAATTGTTATTACTATTATATTTTCCTGGGGAACCGATATTTAAAGGCATCATTTCCAAAACTTAATATTTTTCCTGTTATCTTCTTGTTCCTCACATAAGGACACACTTCATCTCCTTATTCTCTGCTTTTTTATTTGCTGTCTCACATTCCTGAAATGCTCTCTTTCCTTGTGTCTACCTTTGCTGGCATCTTTTAAGTCTTACTGAAATCCCACCTTCTGCAAGAAACTTTTTCTAGGCCCCCTTAATGCTAGTATTTTTCTTCTGGGATTACCTCTAATTTATCCTGTATATATAATATATACCTATATGTCTATATAACATACATGTTCACATAACAGGATATGTGTGCGTGTATACACATATGTAGACATGCAAGCATGCATATGTTTGTATGTTTTCTTTTTCATTCGGACGTGTGCTCCTTGAGGACAGAGAGACTATTTTTGTACCACAAGTGCTTAGCACAATGCCTTCTTTATAGTAAGCACTTAGTGAATGCTTATTGCCTGACTCAAAATACCTTTAAGACATGATGTACTTTGCAGGGTGCTGAATTGACATATTACATATCATCTTGGCTATGCTTTGTCCAAAAAGTTCCTTTGAGGTTTATGTCTTCCAACAAGTCTCAGCAGGGCTTGGCCTCTTTTTACTATCAGTAGTTGCCTTCTATTCCAAGAAGTGTTGTAATAAATGTGGAAGAGGTATTTTCTACAGTTTAATTGGCACTCTGAGGACCCAAAATATCTGAAATCCTTGACCTTACCACACTGCCTCCAGTGCCAGATATGTCCATCTCAGGATAGCAAAAGAAACAAAAAGCTGAAAAGGAATCCAGAAGCAAATAGGCTGAGGTTCAGCTCTCCTAATGAAGCCTGTGCTCTAGATCTCATGTGGAAGCAGTTGCCACACTACCGGGGTGATCTCTACTCCATGCTCACTCCTACTGGAATCTTCTAGAGTGATGTAATCACCTGAAGAGTCAGAGGAAAAAAGAGATTTTAATTGAGTCGCTACCTTTTTAGGTCCACTGATTGGTTCTATTCTTGACTTAGTGGCCAGTCCTTTTTCGTGTAATCCTACTCTTCTCCCCTTAAGTCATCAGGGGGTGAGAAATCAGGGAACCATCTAGTGTGTGCTTTTACTATTCATTCCAAAGGAACATTTTTTTCTGAGGTGAGCCCATTTCCCAGGAAGTGGTCAGAACAACACAGACCTTCTTTCATGAGTTGGCTTCCTCAGACCCATCTCCACTCATGCTCTGCAAGATGCAGTGCCATGACACAAGATTAGGATCTTGGACTCTGAAGGCTATCATTACAGTTTTGAGATTCTATGGCTATAGATCATCGTCTGAGAAACTTAAGTCTATAGTGAAGTTCCCTGTGTCCTTTTGAAAATAAAGTAGCAACTTTTCCTTTAGGGAGTACTGAGAAACTCTAATGACAATTTCAGTAATTCAATTGCTTAGGAAGAATGCAAGCAAATTACTATGAGTTGTCAAATTCACTAATCACTACCATTAGTGAAGTCTTGAGGTCAATTTTGTTTGCCTCAAAACACAGACTAATGTGAAGATGAGTCTCTAAGTATTTGATCAGAAGCTAGGTGATTGTTCTGAGCTTTAGAGTGAAATGTCTTCAAAAAAAAAAAAACAGCACAGAATAATTTGCAGAAAAGTCGTGATCGCTAGGTAAAGAACATTTATAAGAAGCAAAACATCCTTGCAATACCTTTTAAAAAAGTGATAGTGATTAAATAGACACCTAGGTATATTTAGCTATAGAGATAGGTAAGTATGATAATTTAAGTAGGTCTGTTGACCCTAAGGAAACAGGTGGGAAATGGAATGGTAGTGCATGAGAGTGTTGATACATTTACTAAGCAACCTAGTACGGACTTTTACCTGGATTACTTCTGATCCGTGTATTTATAAGTACAAGGAGTTTTTCTGCCCTCTACTGATAACATTTGTAAAGTTCATGTGATTGTCCTGTTTGCCCTTGAGTATACAAGCAACTGATTAAGAATAAGTTGCAGAGAAAATGTACACATCTGCATTAGTAGAGGAAGTTTTCTTACCTGGAATCCAGTCCTATACCAGTAAAATCATAGGTCTGGTAAACAAACAAACACAATATTTATACCTATCTGTCTGTCTCTCTCTGTCTCTCTCTCTCAAGAAATATGCCATTGTCCAACTAGGTCAACCACTTAGAATCAATCTACAGTCTTGCCAGACTTGGCCTGCCAATAGTATCATAGATTTTGAGTTAAAAGGGACCTGAGAGCCCATCTAGTTCAATCACTTTATTTTACAGATGAGAAAACTGAGGCCCAGGGAAGTTACATGAATTTCCCAAAATCATATAGGAAGTAAGCATCATTAATAGGATTTGAACCCAGCTCATCCAACTCTAGAGCCAATGTGCATTTCACTGAATCATTCTGCCTCCATTGTGTCACTGCCTATCTTTTTAAAAAATACCAATAATTTATAGATAGATTTATAGATAGATAGCTTTATTCCCCAAATATGAGTTTGTAACTTTTTCCTGAACATAGGAAGTTAAATGTCAAACTAACATAATAGGAAAGTTAGAACAGTAAAGCTAAACTAGTTACTTAAACACATTCAGAACAAAAGTAAAAAATATAAGAGACTAGTTCTCTCCTATACCAAAGCATGAAAGCAGAGATTTGAAATAATGCTGTTAAATTTAATTTACAGTGGGGAATATATGGTTGAATCTTTGTGGAGGGACTTAATTAAAAAAAAAGGTTGGTAGACATATAATTCCTCTTAATTTGTCAATAATAAATCTAGAGAACATCTAACTTGAGTAGGAAGTTAAGATCACTCAGTTCAACCCCTTTATTTTATAGAACAGAAAGCTCAGTTCTGTAAAGAAAGGCGAGTAATATACTCCAGAGCATGTTAGTGCTCGAGTTAGTAACATTTAGTTAGTGATATAGTTGAGACTCAAATCTAAGCCTCCTCATATTTTATCCAGTGTTCTTTTACTACATCATCCTTCTGGATGGTTATTTGATGGCAGAATGACCTTTAAAAGAGCTTCCAAAAGCTGAAACACCTGTTATGAGAGCCCTTTCAAAATACAGTTGGAGACTTCTACTACTACCCTTTTGACTAGAAAAGGGATAGCAAAAGTCATGTTATGTAACTTCATAAAACTGTAGAGTTAGAGTTGGAAAGGACATTAGAGAGACCTTGCATAGTATGTCAGGGTAACAACTCAAAGAAATTGTGTAGTAAAGCCTCATTCATAGAGTAGATTCAATTAAAACATTGTCTTAGCATAGGGAACCAGTTACTTTTTAATAATGTTGGAGGTCTGGTAAGTGAAAATTTGCAAAATCTGTCAATATGTTTTATAAATGTAAGTTGCTATATTGAAACATTCTCTAATACCAAAGTTTTGAACACTACATATTTTTCCTGCATATGCAGTAGCTGTTGTTATTCAACAATACACAATAAATATTTTTGGGCATATTACCTAAAATGTTTTATTTTCTTTTGACCAGACCAGTGATTTCATTTTTACAGGCAAAGAAATTCCTAGGTATGGAACTTTTTCTACCAGTGCACCCTATTTGCAGCTTATAGTCTTAAAGAAATGCCTAGAGAAGTTAAGTGACTTTTTCAGAGTCATACAGTCAGTGTATGTTAGAGGTGAGATTTGATCCCAAGTCTTTCTGCCTCTGAGTCTAGCTTTCTATCCAATATGACAAACTTCCTCTTAAAATATGTTTTAATTGTATTTCTTTCATTACATTTAGCCGTTATGGTACCCCTGATGAATTGAAAGAACTGGTTGATACTGCTCACTCAATGGGAATTACAGTTCTCTTGGATGTAGTTCATAGTCATGCATCAAAAAATTCAGAAGATGGTCTAAACAAATTTGATGGAACTGATTCCTGTTATTTTCATTCCGGTCCTAGAGGAAATCATGATCTCTGGGACAGTAGGCTTTTTGCCTATTCCAGGTATGTATCTTCTGTGGAGAATACTTTTCTTTAATTAAAGTTATTTTATAAAGAATTTTACAGAATTATATATTACATTTTCTTTTATACTCATATGAAGATGTTATTTGTGATCTATAGATCAGGGATATCTTGTCTTCTGTAATAGCTATTTTTTAAAAAGTGTATGTAAGTACATAATTAAAAATTATGCTATAGAAATTTGCTACTTAAAATAATCTCAGAGCCTTTTTAAAAAAATGCAATATTTTATGTTTCCCCAATTATATGTTAAGACAATTTTTTGGAACATTTTTTAAAAAAAATTTGAGTTCCAAATCCAATCCCTTCTTCCTTCCTCTTACCCCAGACAATCAGATGTAGGTTATATATGTGCAGCCATGTAAAACATTTTCATATTAGTCATTTTGTACAAGAAGACTTACATAAAAAGAATGAAAGAAAGAAATTGAAAAATAGCATGCTTCAGTCTGTATTCAGACAATATCAGTTCTTTCTCTGGAGGAGAATGCTTCATCATTAGTCCTTTGGGGATTGTCTTGGATCATTGTATTGGTGAGAATAGCTAAGTCATTTACAATTCTTCATTGTACAATTTTGCAGTTGCTGTGTACAATGTTGTCCTGGTTCTGCTTACTTCACTTTGCAACAGTTCATGTAGTTCTTCCCAGTTTTTTCTGAAATCATCCTGCTTGTCATTTCTTATACCATAATAGTATTCCATTACAATCATATACCACAGTTTGTTCAGATATTCCCCAATTAATGGGCATCCCTCCAATTTCCAATTCTTAGCCTCCACAAAAAAGAGCTGCTAAAAATACTTTTGTACAAATAAGTCCTTCCCCCACTCCTTTTTTGATGTCTTTGGGTTATAGACCTAGCAGTGGTATTGCTAGATCAAAGGGTGTGCACAGTTTTATAGCAACTTCCAAATTGCTTTCCAGAATAGTTCACAACTCCTGGTTGGATCAGTTCACAGTTCCATCATCAGTGAATTAGTGTTCTAGTTTTCCCACATCTCCTCCAACATTTGTCATTTTCCTTTTTTGTCATATCAGTCAGTCTGATAGGTGTGAAGTAGTACCTCAGAGTTGTTTTAATTTGCATTTCTCTAATAGTGATTTAGAGCATTTTCCCTATGATAATAGATAGCAGTAAAGCCTTTAAAAAAAACTAAGTGAAACTATCTTTTTTTTCCCATATATTAGAGTTGCTTAAATTTGGTACATTAATTAATGTGCCTACCGTTTGATAGGTGCTAAAAAATATCTTTTTGGGGCAGTTAGGTGGCTCAGTGGATAGAGCACTGACCCTGGATTCAGGAGGACCTGAGTTCAAATCCAGCCTCAGACATATGCCACTTACTAGCTGTGTGACCCTGGGCAAGTCACTTAACCCCATTGCCTAGCCAAAAAAAAACTTTTCCCTGATGCGTTAATATATTATCACAGTCTTAATTATTTAAAAAGAAAAGTTTTTCTCAAATGCACATTCCTTCATTGCAGATGTCGGGTCTATGCATATGGAATCCTGCATGTCAGATTTGGTTTATGTGTTAGTTTAGCTTAACGTTTTTTCCCCTTATCTTTTTATCCTGGACCTTAACTATAAAAACTGATCTTTCTCTTTTTCAGTAATTAATTCTCTTGTACCTTCTCTATAGCAACTCTTTGAAACCTTTTCGCCTCAGACTTCCCATATCATACCATCCTCCATCCCTTTCAGGAGATGACTTCACCTTATACTTTACTGAGGAAAGAGAAACTGTGAGTTCCTTCTCCTCTGTTCTCTATCTCCAAATCCCTTGATTCCATCCCTCTACCACTCAGTTTTCCTGCATTCCAGTCTCTAGTAAAGTGAAGGCTTTTTCCTTAGCCAAGGACAATCCTCCATTTGTGTTTTTGATCTCAACTACTTTCATCTCCTTTTATAGATTGCCCCCACAGTCACTTCCTCTTGCTCTTTAATCTCTTCTGATAGAGTAACTGCCTCTTTGCTGCCTACACATAAGCCCAGGTCTCCTATCATTTAAAAAAACACACACACTCTAAGAAATACTTCACTTGAACCTACTGTCCTCTCAAATTTTAATCCTCTGTGTCTCTTTCAGTTTTCAGCGACACTCCTAAAATATATGTCTGCACTCATTCCTCACACTTTCTAGATCTCTCACTGCCACGGTAATGCACTTGTCCAGGAGCCCAGTGTAGTATCTTGGGTGAAATGGGGTCTCATCAAGTTTGGGAAGCCATGGTGACTTATAGAACAACACTCTTTTATTAAGTTTATTATCTCCTGAACCAATCCCAACCAAGTAGGCATTGGTATACTTGTTATCAGGGCTGACTATGTATTTTTAGAATGAGGATTATTTTTTGAACTTCCTGGAATTAATAAATTTAATGCTAAAAGGTAAGAGTTATAAAATAGGGCCATCCAACAGACTCCTTGTCTAATCCTCTATCAGTTGCAGTTTCATTCTTGGCATCATTTTGCTTATTTGAGTTTCTTGCTTTACTTTCTTTAAACTGGTTTTATTCTTTATCGTTTCTCTTTTATGAAGCAGTACTGCTCATAATCTTTCACCTTCCTCCACTTTAAGGTTTGAAAAGGGATTTACAAATATAATTTCATTTTATTCTCAACAGCCTTTGAAGGTAAGTGCTATTATTTCCACTGTTTTACAGATGATGAAACTTAGGCAAATTGAAATTGATAACTTGCCTAAGGTCACACAACTAGTAAGCATTTTAGGCAGAATTTTAGTTTGGGTCAGTATTTGAAATTGGTCTTCCTGACTCCAAGTCCAACACTCTATCTGCTGCACAACTTATCTGCTTCTTTCTCTCAATTTTGCAATTAAGTCAAATGTTTGTTGGTAAGGTACTCTTTATGTTTTGGATTTTGGGTGGTTTTTTTTTTTTTGCCTCCTTATGAATTCAATGAATATGAATCAATGAGTGAATGAATTAATATTGATGGAATAGGGAAAATATTTATTGAGTTCTTACTACGTGCCAAGGACTGTGCTAAGTCCTGGAATTGAGACAATCCCTGTCTCTAAGTAGCATATATTCTAATGTAAAAGATAACATATATAGGGAAGTGGTAGCCAAGGAGGAACATTTTGGTTTGAAAAGTCACAGAATTTGTGCTTGAAGCCGTAGTAAAGTAGACTCACACACACTTTCCCATAGCAATGGGAACATTTGTTTGATTATGATTCTACATGTGGAAGAGAGGTAGAGCAGGGGAAGGGATGGTTCTTGGGATATAAATTGAATCACGGCTGGGGCTGGCCAGATATAGAGGCCTGTGTGAGGTACTCACCAATGAGTTATGGCCTTTGATTTATATTGGTTATGAAATAATTAATTGTATTTTGTAATCTACTACTGTATGAAATAATTGTAATTGGTATCTATGTTCTTCTATCCATATACAACTAAAAATCGGCAACTTGTTTATATAGGTCAGATTGGATTTATTTGAATTTAATGTGGCATTATTTCCTCATTTTTATGATTTCTTTTAGATTCATACTAATTTTAGTCTTTGCATTAACAAATTAGTGGTCTCACTGTACACAAATAGTTATATGTGTAAAGAATGACTTGCAGAATAATTTTCCATCTGTACAAATATAGTCAGTTTCTTTTCTTTTTTTTTTTTTGGGCAATGTTATTTGATGTGTATCCTGTCCATTGCTCTTTGTCTCTTTTCTAAAAATGTTTGTATTTTACACACATACACACACACACACACACACACACACACACACCTGCACTGATGGTTTCTGTGTAGTTTCTTATCTTGCATCTTTACACACACATGTTTGTGTATACATATATATGTACGCATACATGAATGCATTGTAGGTATACATTGCTACCTTTACTTACTGCCATCTTTATATTAAAGCCACTAAGAATAAATGGTGTATTTAATTTGGAGGAACTTAATGAGTTCCCTATACAGTTTCTCTATGTCATAATCCCCTGCACAGATGAGTATCTTTGACAACAATTCTTTTCATTGTGATCTTTTTCAAAGTACTCATTATGAATCTTACAATACAAAATGACTAAATGTCCCATTAAATATTGTTTTTTATACTTTGGATACATTATAAGATCAACTCTGACAACTCTTTTATTTGTCTCTCCAGGGAGAAACTGACAGCTGTCTTTCAATTTACTTAAACTTCCTTTTGTCTTGTGCTTTCATTTACAGTGAAAATGTCAAGATTGACATAATTCAGTTTCTTCTGTAGTATGATAACTTATTGGCATTTGGACAAGTCTTTCACATTTAGAATATCAGTAGCTATGGAAAAGTGTATAGACAGTGTAAAAACTTGGTGATTCTTTCTGCTTTCTCTCCCCTTTTCCACTACTTTGCCAGCATAACTATTGAAGCAGAAATAGCTGAGAGCCATTTTGTGTTGTGCTTTGTTTTACCATGGCCAAAGAATTCATCATAAAGTAGCATAATGAAGCTGGGCCTTGGAAAGCAGATTATCTTTTGAAAAAACTGTACTTGTCTTTTCTGCATGATAGAACCTGTGAGATCACACATTGCTGGCCTAGTCTTTTCATTCATTCATTCATTCATTTATTTATTTATATTTTTTTTGGTCAGGCAATTGGGGTTAAGTGACTTGCCCAGGGTTACATAGCTAGGGAGTATCACGGGTCTGAGGCCGAATTTGAACTCAAGTCCTCCTGACTCCAGGACCAGTGCTCTATCCACTGCGCCATCTAGCTGCCCCTCCATGTTTTTAATTTTTAATTTATGGAATAAAACTAGCATTTCTATAACACAGTATAATAAAAAACATGCTTGCATGTGAAACTGCAAATCTGTTCTGTATGATCTGCTATTCCTTTTAAATATATAATAAAGTTATCATGTAACTTTCTTCCTTTTCTTTTTACTTTTTTTTCCTTCCCTGTCTCCCTCTGCCCTGCCAGAGATGGCTATCATTAGACCCAAAT